AAGATGTTTTGTTTCACATATCTGAAGATTTCAAATTAAATCAATAAAATGAATAAAACTTCTCTAAGTTTTTGACAATATGTATCTATTTAAAACGTAACATTTTCAATTAAAAAGCAATTTTAATATTCTAAGTCTTCTTCTTTATACATACAGTGAACTTTCTTTATAAGTTTTCTCTTTATGAGTATAAGCTCTTTAAATTCCCACACACTCACATTATGAAGTAATTTTCATTCTTTATAGGAAGAAATTCTTTATAAGTGAAGTTCTTTATCAGCATGAGAGTTTATATTAAAAGTACTTTCTTTATTAATCGACGAGAAAAAAAATGCAGTTTTGCATTCTTTAACGCGCTCATCGTTTTTTTTATCAGTAATTGTAAAAACTAGAGACACGTCAAGTTAAAATGCAGCAGATTCATGGAAAAAAAACTCTAAATACAAAAAAAAATTAATAACAAAATTTAAAAATACCAGTGAAAGCCGTGCAGATCTTGTACAAAATTGTGTTAAAGTTCTTGAAAATGCATTACCTTTGATATTTATTGAAATGCACGCTAGGTTGATAACGAGCATTTTCAATTACCTTTTCGAAAATATTCTTTATAGGAAGAAGTTCTTTATAGGAGACTCCATTCAGAAATCTTATAAAGAAAGTTCACTGTACATGTTCTTTTTCAGTTTCTTAAAAGTCACAAAGGATTGTAAAAAAGGATCATTCAACTAAACTTTAAACTGAATCTTAAACTGGTTTTAAAGAATGAAATTTTTAGATTTATGTATTTTTTTTATATTTTTATTTAATTAATTCATATCCTATCAATATTTCATTGTAAGCAGAAGTGAAAGACTTCCTATGGTTAAATTTATTAGCGAGTGGATTTATCATAGACATAGTAGAAACATAAATTAATGTTAGATATGAGTTCTTTCATACCCGAGCGGAACACACTCGCCGTGCCGGAGGCATACGTTTGCACTACAACGATTTTTAGTTGGCACTTCCTTTGGCTTTTCCTTCAGAAATCAGCGAAAATAACCGAGGTATCAATTTAGCACTAACAGTTGACGCTATGGTGCTTCCCCACATGCCATTAACTCTAAATAAGCCTACCATAAGGCAGCTTAAGAAATTCTTCACTAGTCCAACACATAACTAACTTAAGGTGATAGAATTAGGCGATAGCCAGTAGTTTTTAGCCAAATGTCTTTCAGATGGCGGATTCTAAAGGAAAGCCTTCCCATTAAATGGAGACGATACTCGTATGACAGATTTGTGTGAGATATCGCCCTTTGTGCCGCTCGGGATATAGCAATAAAATTCCAAAGACATTCCAAATTGGAATTTCCAACTTAATTATTTGAATAAAGCTCTTCATTATAACATAGCGGCATCTAGCGACGCCCACGAAAAACCTTAAAAATTCCTCAAGGCGCGCATGAGAATAAATTTCATCAAATTTAACAAAATTTATGAAACAAATTACGACAATCAATGAAAACTACATTGAAATCTCAAAATGCAAACAAATAAAGTATTTTTACGAAAAACCAAGCGCGGTAACATTCTAAAGGTATGTAAAATGATGTAAAACGATAAAATATTGTTTGTTTACATTTTATTTCTATCGCAACCTCGAATAATTTTTATTTTGTAGATTGTCAGAGAACATTATCTTCGTACAGATATTTGGTGTGGAAGTTCAATATGCATCGTGTGTCCTCATGAGAAACATGACTTAGTTCTATCAGAAAATTCAATTTCAAAAAGTTCTTTACTCACTGAACCACATTATCTTGTTTTGGACACAAACGTCATTCTGGATCAAATTGACGTGTTGGAAGAAGATGTTATCACGAATGTCATTGTCCTTCAAACTGTTCTAGATGAAGTCAAACATAAGAGTGCAGCAATTTATAAACGATTACGAGACATTATTATGAATCCAACGCGAAAATTTTATGTTTTTGTAAACGAACATCATCGGTGAGTAAAAAACATTAAACTAACTAAAACAAAATTAATCTTTCGATAATATTTATAGTGACACTTACATCGAGCGACTTCCAAAAGAATCATCAAATGATCGAAATGATCGCGCAATTCGAAATTCTGTCACTTGGTATGAAAATCATCTTAGAAAAAGTCAGAAAGGTCGTTTAAGAATCATTCTGCTATCGGATGATGCTGAAAATCGAAAGAAGGCTGAAACTGAAGGAATTATAGCTATTTCTGTTCGAGATTATGTGAAATCTTTAATTGACACTCCTCATTTACAAGATAAATTGAGTCTTAAAGAGTATGGAAGTGAACAAAACAACAATCCACTTTATCCACCACATCTTACACTTGTCAGCATTCACGAAGGAATTAAGAATGGAAAACTTTACCAAGGATCATTTGCAGCATCAAGAGAGAACTTTCTAGAAGGAAGTGTCAATGTTGAGTGCTTTGAGAAATGGATTCTTATTCAAGGACGAGAAGCATTAAACCGAGCAGTTGATGGCGATGTTGTTGCTGTTGAATTACTTCCGGAAGAAGAATGGAAAGCACCAAGTGAAATAATCTTGGAAGATAAATCTGAAGATCCAACAAGCGACACACTTGAAGATGAAATTGAAACTGAAAAATTGTTGACAACTGATGACTCGAAGAAAGAGAAACAACCGACTGGAAGAATTGTTGGAATTATTAAAAGGAAATGGCGTCAATATTGTGGAATCATTCGGCCAAACATCCTCAAAGGATCAGCTCGTCATATTTTCATTCCAGCTGAGAGAAAAATTCCTCGAGTTCGAATTGAAACACGACAAGCTGAACATTTATACAATCAACGAATTATTGTTGCAATCGATCAATGGCCGAGACATTCACGTTACCCACAAGGACACTTTGTAAGATCGCTTGGACCGCTTGGCGATAGAGAAACTGAAAATGAAGTTCTACTTATTGAACATGATGTTCCACATTGTAAATTTTCTGAAGAAGTTCTCAGTTGTTTACCAAAACTTCCATGGATCATCACAGAACAGGTTCGTCTTTATTCTTCGTTTCTTTCATCATTAAATATCATCAAATTTGAATCATTTTCTTCCGAGAATAAATCAGTTAACGGTCGAAGATGTAAATCAATATTTGGCGATGTTCTCGTTCTTAAAGTCTTTGTTGGCAATACTGAAGTTGATTGAAATTTTTCATTTCTCAGCATTCTTAAATTTCTCTTTGTTGACTTTTCACGCAACCTTGAGATATGCTGCTGAATTCTTAATTCTAAAAGTTCATTGTTAGCTTTGAAGTCATAAATGTCTACTTAAAATTCATTTCAGTTTACTTTTTTCTTTATTTTCTTTAATTTTCCTTTGTTGATCTTCGATTGTCTTCTTGATTGCTTCAATTCTTTCAGTTGTTGTCGTGAAGAAACTTCTGAGATAATTTAGTTTCAGTTTTCTGTCGTTTAATTCTTCTACAAGAGTTTCAAATGTTTTCTGAAGTTTTCTAGAATAAAAAATTACTTTTTGAATATAAATTAAATATTTCTATTGAAACGATTTTGCTTAATAATTTGTAAAAGTTGAGAACATTCGAAAACTTTAAAAAAAATCTCTTTAAGGAAAAAATTATCGATTCATTCGCTAACTGCATTCAATAAGAACTTTTCGTAATTTAAAATTCACTTACGGTCCCAACTCAAAATGATAAAAAGAAGCGACAACATCATCAATTATCTCAATTAATGTCACAAGATCTTTAAGAAAACCTTCAAAATTCTCTTCATCAACAGCTTTTATTTCAATGAATGTCAATGGTTTTGTGTTGTTTGCAATTAAATTGCTTCCATCACACTTTTCACTTGTAATTTTGATTAAGTTTCCAAACATTTTTATTTAAATTTCAACATAAAAGTTTTGCCAACTAAGATTTATTTCTTCTTTCTCAGGACTACAAAGATCGAGAAGATTTAAGAGCGCTTGCGATCTGTTCAGTTGATCCACCGGGTTGTACAGATATTGATGATGCTTTGCACAGTCGTTTGTTGCCAAATGGAAATACTGAAGTTGGAGTTCATATCGCTGACGTCACACATTTCATTCGACCTGGCAATGCTTTAGATAAGGAAGCAGCATCACGAGCAACAACAGTTTACCTTGTTGACAAACGAATTGACATGGTGCCAGAACTGCTCAGTTCAAATCTCTGTTCGCTGCGTGGAAATGTTGAACGTTTTGCATTCTCTTGCGTTTGGGAAATCGACGAGAAGGCAAATATTGTCAAGACAAAGTTTCACAAGAGTGTCATTGAATCGAAAGCTGCATTAACATATGAAGAAGCTCAAATTATTATCGACGATAAGAACAGAAACGATGAAGTGGCGCAATCATTGCGAAGGTTGAATAAACTCGCGAAGATCTTGAAGAAGAGACGAAAAGAAAACGGGTAAGTTAGAATTACTTAATAATTACACATTGATGACTGAATAATAAATAAATTAATTTAAATATAGTGCACTTGAACTTGCATCGCCGGAGATTCGATTTCAAGTTGATAATGAAACACAACTGCCGTTGGAAGTTCAAGTGAAGAATTTCCTTGAAACAAATTCAATGGTTGAAGAGTTCATGTTGTTGGCGAATTGTTCAGTCGCTCAGAAAATTGAGAAAGAGTTTCCGGAATATGCGATGTTACGACGTCATCCAACACCCCCGCAAACAAACTTTGAACCTTTAATTAAAGCTGTGAGACATCAAGGCTTTGATATTGACACAGTTTCTGGAAAGGCTCTTGCTGATTCACTCGATAGGATTGTTAAGAGTGACAATGCATATTTCAATACAATGTTGAGGATATTAGCAACACGCTGCATGTTGCAAGCTGTTTATTTCATTAGTGGAACTTTAACCAAACCTGAATTCTTTCATTACGGTCTTGCAGCTCCGATTTACACACATTTTACGTCACCAATTCGAAGATATGCTGACATCATCGTTCATCGCTTGTTAGCTGCTTGCATTGGCGCCGATTCTCCCTATGCAGAACTTTTGGATAAAACAAAGAATTCACTTTTGTGTAACAATTTAAACTATCGAAATCGCATGGCACAATATGCCGGAAGAGCTTCCGTTGCTCTCAACACACATTTGTTCTTTCGCAATCGTACGGAAGAAGTTGACGGTTACGTGTTGTTTGTACGAAAAAATGCTTTACAGATTCTCGTGCCGAAATATGGACTTGAGGGAACAATTTATCTATCGGGAAAAGGTCAAGAAAGTGATGTGAAATTCATTTATAACGAAGAAGTGAGTGACGAGTTTTTTTATTTCATTTCAATTTTTATTCATTTTTTTTATCATACTCAGAATCAATCACAAAAATGCGGCGAAATTGTTTTTCATTCTTTCGATCCCGTCGTCGTTCGTTTATTCCTCGATTCGACCAATGTTCAACATGAGAAGCTCGTATTTCAACTTGTTAAACCGTTCATTAAGGGTTTTAGTGTTGATTCTTCATCTGACAAAATGGATATTGACGACGATTCATCATCCAAACGTAAATCAGACGAGAAGACATTAAAAAAACAATCAAAAAAGAAAAAGAATTAAAAATTGTTTTAAGAATAAAAAATAAATTGAATTCATAATAAAAATGGCATTGAAACGTGGGTGGATATTGCAAATATTTACACATTGTTTTGAGAGTTTCAAATATAATTAAAAAGCGAGATAAATGAAATTTCCGTTTAATCATCAGCGTCAATAATTGATACTCATGAGAGGATGCAATAAATCTTATCTTCGGTCATTGACATTGCATAAGTCATAAAATTTATGATTATCACTTGCTTTATGTTTTTTAATGATAACACAAGATGTAAAGAAAGATTAATCATGAAGCTTGATTTTCGTATCTGAACATGTCGCGCGCGATCAATTGTTTGAGAGTGTTGGTGTCTGCTTACAGTAATGTTAGTGAGGATTCAACAAGAGAGAGAGAAAAAGAGAGCGAACAGCGGCGATCTATCACATTGTTCGTCGTTTCATTTTCAGTCTTCGTTTAGTTGTAAGTGGAAACACTCGGCAGTTAAATTGTGCTTTGAAGCATTTTGTAATGTCTTTCTAATTAGTAATCTGTTTTTTTGTTAATAATTCAAAAAGTTGAAAACAATAGCCAAACATAAAAAATAGAAAAGAAAGGAAAATGAAATAAAATTATTTTCGCTACAGATTCAGGTGAAATTTTCTGAATTCACCAACCGGTTTTTGAGTTGACAAAAAATAAATAAAAAATTTCTCATCATAGTTTAATATTCAATGAAATTGAAATTTTTTGGGTTATAAAGCACACAATTGAATAAATTTTCGGCATCGGATTACAGCTGAAAATTGCAACTTTCAAAAGCAAGGTAAGCATCAGTTTTTCTTTCTTTTTATTTCTTTCTTTTTTCCACATAAATCGATTTCTACGGAAATTGCAATTTTTTAAATGAAACATCTTTTTTTAAATTATCCACGAAGTGAGAAATAAATTTCGCTTTTGGAGCGCAAAAAAAAGAAAGAAAAGATATTTATCTAGATAATTTTGCCATAATTTCAGCAGCAGACGGAACTTGTACAATAAAGTATATAAAATGATAAAAATATCGTAAATAATCTTTCTGTCAATCACAACACCGATTTCACTGCAAGCTACAACGCGATTTTAACTATCCATTTATGATGGTGATGATCAGAGTGTTGTTAAATATGTGCATCGGAAAAAGTTGAAAACTTGATGGAAAATAAAATATCTAAACATGAAAACAGAAAATTTATTCCTTCATGCATAATGAAATTGCATGCTGATGATCATAAATTTAATTAGGTTTGACCAGTTTCTGATGAATGTTCATAATAAGATAAATGAACATTAAATGCACAATTAATCTCTTCCATCACGATTCGTGTTTGTTGAAAATGAAGTAAAAGTAGCTGAAACAGATTCTTTAAATTTTTTCAACATAAATCGAATCTTATTCGAACTTTCAACATGTCTTTGCATGTACTTAGACTCTGCAATGCAACACAAAAATAAATTTATGTCTGGAATGTATTGGTGATTTTCAGATGGCCCATAACTTACCGAAAGAATCATAAATTACCAACAGCAGTTAATGGTTGAATCATAGACGCCAATACAATCACATCCGAAACATGAATAAATAAATAAAATCAGACACACATACATTCGATGCATATTTATCTGCAATTCAAATGATATTTTCTATTCTGATCTTTAGCAGGAAAAATACTTTTTTATATATTTCGAACCATTATTGCTTTCATTTTTTTTCCTACTGCTTGTTTCGTTCGTGTTCAACACATAAATTTTATTTTTCTTTGCTTTTGATATATTTAGACATCGTTGGTTGCTTAGCATTGAGCAGAATATTTGCTTTTATTTTTGACGACTGACTCGCATGGGAATAACAAGAAAAGAAGCGATCTATAAATGAACTAACTAGACTGTCATAAAAATGCATTTCCTTATTAACTCCTCCGTCTTCGAGAAGGTTTCGATCGTAAACATCAAGCGATGAAGTATTACATAATTTCATTCTTAGTTCTTTTTCTTGTCTTACTGTTACTTGTTAAGACCTTGTCGTCTTATGTCTTAAAAATTTGTCTGTAACTGGGAAGTTAAAATATTGAATCGTCAAAAAAAAAATTACGAAACTTTTTTCTTTGTACACATACCAAGATAAAGAGTAAAAAAATTATTCAATAAATAAAAATTTGGTTTCTATGGATGAGAATGCACAACACAACAATAACGTTTGAAGAAAAAATTGCCATTGCCTGCAAGACTTTTAAATAGAATTTTCAATTAGGCTTAAGTGTAGTTATGATGAGTAAGCTAAGTAAAAAATAAAAGAAACCTCGAGGCCATTGCACAAGCAAGCAATATTTATCATACGAAAAAACTTGTTTTTTTTGACGCCAACTTTGAGCCGTGTAACGTTGAAGCACCAATGTCTTTAACCTCATGCTTTGATCAATGCCAATGTAAAATAGCTAAGCTGTATTTACTCTTGACCATCGCACGATAAACATTTCACTTGCTTACTTATTACAACATCTTCTTCCTTCGCTATGTGAGAGCACAGAACATTTCTTCCATTTCTTTTCTTTTCTTTTCCTTATTTTTTTCTCTTTCGTAACGAAACTAGTTTAAGCCTCTTCCATCGGAGCACTTACATGCTTACTCTTCTTTCTTGATGACCAAACACATTCAAACAATTTTTCTGCTTTACAAGACTGAAATATCTACTCGACATTAGATATATGTATGAAGAGAGAGAACGAAAAAAATCAGAACAAAAGATATATAAAATGAAAGGAGGCCAATAGCAACCCAATACCAAACAAGCAAGCTTGCAACCGTCAGACCAAATAATAATTCTGGAGAGAAATATTTTTAGAATGTGTTTAGATATTCACATTCCATAAAAAGCGATGATGATAATCCAAGATTTATCTGACGGCCAGAAGAGAAATAAAAATATGGGACACGAGTTCCCTTGTTAAGAGAAATTTTCCCTATTTAGTCATCGCTTTCGTCACATTTGTCAATGGAAAGACAATCGAAATGAAATTGAAAGTGTTGAAGATTTTGAAATCAGATTTTAGTTGTTAAAGAATTGAATTGTAATTTAAGGCCGTTAGGCTAGCGATGAAAATTTAATTAAGCGTTTAACGGTTCTTTCACTCGTTACTTGACACTTGAATAATTCACAAGTGCAGGTTTTTAGTTTCTTCTAACTCTCAAATAAATATTTTCCCAACGTATCTAGTTTCTTATTTTTAATTTAACACCTTTTAACTCGTGCTCTTAATATTTATTTATTATGTTTATTGTTGTCATTTCAGAAGTTGAAATAGTTTCATATGACTGATCTGAATAATAAATAAAAAATTACAAAGCAATAAGAACCCAAAATGACGTGACAAACAGCTTCTGAAAAGAATAGAAAAAGAAACTTCTTGAATACATTTTAAGCTTTTGAAGTTTAAAGCAAGAACGTCGACAAAGTTGAACAGTAAGTGATTGTTGTTTACTTATAATTAGCTCTATTTGTCTTCATGATGATTTTTTACCATTCTTTCTCCAGTTTCAATTACCGATAATAATGAACAACGTACAAAGGAATTTTTTTAAATTTCTCTTCATTCTGGCAGTTTGGTCGTTCCTACTCATAGGTTTAATTAAGCTGAACAGCGATAACAGTTATGAGCTTTCACCAAATTCATTTGTCTCATCACATTCATCGCATCTCAAGAAAATTCCATTACACAGAAATCTTTTACAAAGAGAGAAATGGAATAAGAACTTTTATGATCCAACATCAACAACAGCGGCTGAGCAGATGATGACATTTCCTGATGAAGAGATTCTCATCGATAATCGAACTGGTGAGTGATTAATTAAGGTTTAATTTTCAATATTTTAACTTAACTTGCACTTCATTAAAATTGTTTCCAATTTCATAATTGAATACCTAATTAAATTAATTAGGAATTGATGACGATCAACTTGTGAGAGAAGTTGAAGAAAAGATTCCTTCACTTCCAATCGCCTATTGGACAAAGCACAAAGCCATTCAAGCACAATCGAACAATAAGAATTCGAAACAATGTGCCAAATATCCGTCGATATTCGATCTTCAATTTAACAACATTTACTGGCAGACGCTTCACACAACCAACGGCACATTTCAACTGTTTGGTGCTTATTACGATGTGAGAAAGAATTCGAGAATTGGACCTGCGGTAAGAATCTTAGGGATGATTGATCGTATAAGCCCGAACGTCAAAACATTCTGCCAGTTTTGGTTCGACGGTCAAAAAGAACCATTTATCGTGAAAACCTTCGAGTATAAGTACATGTGGTTCAGTAAATGGGGGAATTACGTTAATGGAAACTTCCAACCTTACTTGATAGCTTGTCAAATACCAAAGCCGTTTCATGCGCTCGTACCAGCTTCAGTGTCATTAGTTGAAAAACAATGCGATACGGCAACAAACAATTTAAAAGTTATTTATAATCTACCTTCGGATGATCGAAAAAAAGGTTTTGCTGTTTGTGTCAAGGGACTTGACTTCCTTTATGATGATCTTTCAGTGAAACTTATTGAATGGATTGAACTTATAACTCTTCTCGGTGCTGACAAAATTTACTTTTATGAACTCCAAGTTCATCCAAACATATCGAAAGTGTTGAAATATTATCAGAAAGAAGGAAAAGTTCATCTAACGCCTTTGACTTTACCCGGTGGTATGCCAAATGTTCCGGGTTTTCAGCATTTATTTTTAACAAAGAAAACAAGTCAAAAAAGACAAAATGAACTGATACCATACAATGATTGTTTGTATAAAAACATGTATAAATACGAGTTCATTGCTTTGCTCGATATCGACGAAGTGATCATGCCGAAGCATGAAAGTGATTGGAGTTGGCACGATTTAATGTTAAGGGTTTTGGAGAAGGGAAAAAAATTGAGAAATACAACATATCCAAGTTATAATGTGAGAAACGTTTACTTTTTCGATGAAAACCAACATAAACATGAGTGGGTGCCGAACATTCCAAAGTACATGCATATGCTTCAACACACAAACAGAGCTGCAAACTATACAAAGCCAAATCAATACATTAAGTGCTTTCATAACCCAGAGAGAGTACTTACACTTCACAATCATTTCCCACTCGCGTGTTTAGGCGGGCCATGCAAGTCATTCTCCATTGACGTTGCCGATGCTCAACTTCAACATTATCGAGCTGATTGTGTTAGAACATTAAAGAAATCATGCGAAGATTTCAAAGAGCATCGTGTTAAAGACAATACGATCATGAAATTCAAAGATCAGCTAATTACGCGCACAACAAAAACACTTGAAGCTTTAAAATTTTTCAAGGCATCATCATCATCATCTCAACATTCTCATAGAGATGTCGTCGATTGACAAGCAGATAATAAAAAACTCGTTTTTTGAAGAAATATTTATGATAATTACAGAAAAATGTGATAAAAAAAATGCTTGCTTAGTTAAACATGTATCTATTGTAAGATTGGAAATTTAAAAATGTATTCAATAATATTTATAAACGTGAATATTCGTAATGGAAGAATAATCTTGTATTGGAAAATCGTCAAAATTATTATCATTAGTATTATTTAAGTCAGTGATTCTCCATATTTGTGTTGTGACGCAAGAGATATCACCAAACATGGTTGTCGCAATACGAAAAAAGTTGAGAAACATTGGTTTAAAATATTGGCGGCTGATTTGTAAGTATTCTTCCTTGACCTTGAATCTTGAATAAGAAATTCATTGATAATTTAAAGATCTGTCATTTGCATATTTATATCTACATTTTATTTACTGTAAATTGGGTTATAATGAAGAAGAATTCTTAAGCGTTTAGCAAATATGGTTAAAAGCTACTTATCTTTGATGTTATATTTGAGTTGTAAATGCCAAAAGAACGTATGTGTGAACGTATTTAGATAGAATTAAATGAAGAAATAATATATTTCTCTTTTGAGAACAAAAATTAAGAAACAAAATTATGAATTGAGAACAAAAATTATGCTTGTGCCTTTCTAAAAAGATATAAAAAGAAATAATAAATTATTGCACATGTGTGGCACGTTTTCAAATATTTCTCGCATATTTTATTGTCATGTTACATCCAAACATTTTCATTATAAAATTATTGAAACGAGACTCATGATTCTATCTCTATATGTAAATAGGTAGATGATGTTCAAGTAAACAAAAATAAATCATGTAACTACTTTACACTTTGACCTCTGATCTAACAAAGAATTGTTCGAGAACAAAACCAGCTTTGTTAACCACACATACAGACAAATTTATGTATCAAAATTTCTGCGCATTCGTAATATTCTTATGTGGTTAACATGACTTGTTAGATTTATTCAGGAACAGTAAAGCCCTTGGTAATTTATTTTATAAAAATTTATAAGATTAATATTACTCAACCTTGGTGTATATCCGTAGCCTATTTCATTAGACCGAGGTTTGCTAATATCTAATGTAGTTAACGTTGAATATTTTTATTATGACGACTCTCGTCGCATGTTTCAATTTCCATTTTGTTACGGAAATGTTTTGAAAAGTGAAACATTTTTTTATCTCTCATGGAGATTCTTCTCATGCTACTTGCAAACAGCTCCACATAAACGTTGAGTGAACCTCAACTAGTTGGTTTTCATTGAGAAATGCTGTGGTTTTCTTAACTGGACTTGCAACAAAAGAAAGAAATGTGCGTTGCTGTTAAATAACCTTTGAAATATTTCTCTAACGTGGGCTTTCAAAACCTCGTACGTTCAATTTAAAAAACTTAAATTATTTATTATAATCATTATTATTCATTGAATATTTATGTGCTAATATTTGATCAAATTATGTTCCATTATTTTCCATTATTATAATAAATATAAAATGAGTTCGGTTTGAAAAGTTTTTGCTCTACTTTTACCTCAATTTGTTTCAACGATCGTTACTTTAAATCACAAAAGTTTTTGATTTCTCCTACATACGAATAAAAAGCTTTTCAATGACTTTCGTAAAAAATGACTATGAGCAATGGTCAATGGTAAAATTAGAATTGATTATTAATGGTTTTGAAGAAAGAATCTGATGATTAACATTATTGTAATCTGAAACGAGTCTCTTGTATATAATCTCATGTGAATCTTAGAAGAAGAATTCAAATTAATGTGCTTTAAAGATTGACAAGTTTCTAACGAGTCGTTTCTAGAATTATTCAGAGACTCAGAATCTCTTTAGTGATAAATTATGTACATATATGTATACAGTCTCAGTCAAAACACGACACTGGTAGATGCACTGAAGTAGCCGTAGACATTTGGTTTGTTACATATTCATAACTTTTGTATAGTTTGCAAACCTACGCAACAGAAAACCTTAACAAGAAAAAGAAAAAAAGAAACCAATTCAGTATCATGAAATATCTAATAATATTAGTCATCATAAATATTAATTTTTTTTAACCAAGGTTTATTCAATCTTTTCTTGGGTAGCGCCTTAAAAACAAAGAACATATACATTTGTAAACATATTAAAGCGTGTAAGAAATTGAACACGTTAGCAATTCTTAAGATGCATTGTAGACTTCACGTATACAAATGAATAACTTTACATAAATGACATAACAATTCTGATGTGAAATTCGAAGAGGTATCTATTATTGAATATTTAAAAAAAAGAAAAGCTTTTAGAGAAAGAAATGCCTCATAATTTTATACAAGATTTAGGTAGCATCAATGTTACGAAACATTTTACGGGGGTTTTAAATTGAATTCATGTAAGGAGCATGAAATGAAATAAATCTCGAACAATTCTTTATTAAATCAGAGAAAGATGAGAGTTTTGTAACCGCCCTTCATACTTATGTCATATCTCATATTTATCTGTAATAACCGTAAAACTTATGATTATAATCTTATTTTATTAATAAAATGAGAACTTTTAAAGCTCTTTTATGACTGAATATTGAATTATTGTTTTTATTATTGTTGTTTGTGGTAGCATAATTTTGTAAATAGAATTATTATTCGATTGATTCTCTGTACAGAAAATCTCTAGGCAACCTTTGGATATTGAGATAGAAGAAAATAATTTCCGGTATGGAATTTCCTGTTACCATTTCATATGAAAAATATGGAAATTTAATCATAAAAAGATTTCTTTTTATTTACAGCATATTGGTTCAATATATTAACTTTTCACAGCTTTAACATATTTTTCCATCTCACATACACAAATATTTAAAATAGCTTGTTATGCAAACTTTTTTAAATAACGAATAACATCTTTAACTCATTAAGTTATCAGCAACATAAATATGTTTAGACGTAGAAGAAACATTATTTATTTTATCTTATTACCTGCAGGCGACAAGTTGAGTAATTAATAAACAGGGATAATGTGACTTCAGTTGTTCATGACTGTTTGTATTGTCATGGACACTGAAGTTTTTAATTGAGTTAGTAAAGAATTTTCTTTCCGTTATCTTTTTTTTCACTTAGGTAAATCGGAACATTTGTTTCCAAGAGTGACCAACCCACAATATATTTTACTGGATAAAAGAAGCTCAGTACGTGCATTATTTTAATATTCATTTCAAATGTATAAACCTTTTAACGATCGTAATAATTCTCAAGTAGTTTCGCATAAAATTTTTACTTGTAAAAAACTAAAAACTATAAAAACATTGAAGCTTCCTTAAAAACATTCAATGAAAACATTCAACAATGATTTGAAAACATTGCAACATTCAACACAGCAGATGAACTTTTCACGTTTTCTACCATTTGGGGGGATACCAAGGGGGAAAAACACCATAAAGCTTTAACATCCATAACTGACACTCACAAGAAAATCTAAGGATAAAAAGTCTTTTTTGTTAGCTAAGCTTTAGAGTCTCACAAAACTTTTTCAAAGCTCATATTGGAATAAAACATTAATTTTCGTTCTGATTTTTATGATGGACATTAAAATATCGCACATGACAGGTTCTTGTTTCTTTTTTCTGTTTTTTATAAACAAGAAGGAAAAAAAATATTTATGTAGACATGTTTTTGTTTTTATATAAATATGTTTGGTTCCAATTAAACTTGCTGTGAAGTTGTGTAATATTTTATAGAACCTAAGTCTTAAGCCTCAAACCATAATGAGAGAACCCTTCAAGTGAAAAACAAAGTAGAAAAGAAAAGTTTTTGTGATTTTTGAAGGTAACTAAGTAACCGAACCTATAAATTAAATAAAACGTCAAAATGCCGTAAACAGATTAAATCAACTGTTTTGAAAAGGGAGAAAAATAATATTTCATAATTGATAAAATATTAATTGAATTTTCAATTTTACGTTTCCTCAGCTATTTTTCTATTTCGATACTTTAAATGGCGGAAAAACAAGAATTTCATGAGAATTTGGATTTTAGATGAGACATTGCATAGAATTATTATTTTAAATACAATTATGCTACTTGGTGTTCCTTGGTAAAAAATTATTTACTCAAAAGGACGAAGTAACAACAAAAGGAAATTTTTCTTTCTCTCTTTATCTTTTAGTGCTTCAAACTTTTTATTGACGGCTGTAAAAATAATAAAATCTTCTTTACAGAGATTATTTAGAATCTCGTTTTCGTCTTAATACAAGTTCAACATTCTTATCCTGTCTTTATAATCATAATTTAAAATATTTATTGGAAGGAACACGATGAGAATAAGAAGAGAATTCGGCACGAAACATAATTTTCAGATATGATGAGATTTAATTAAATAAAGAAGAACTTTGCAAGCAGAATTGAATTTTCTCCGAACTACAACAAAAGATAATAAATAAAACATGGAATGAAGACATTCTCACTTGATTCTCAGATATCGAGTTGGATACAATGTGAAAACAGTTCTAATTTCGAGTTATGAATCAAACGAATTTATTTCATTTCGTAAACTCGAGAGCATTGCTCGAAATTGAATGGTCCTTGATTACGTTGGGTTCTCTATGACAATCTAATCTATAATAATGGAATCTTTAATAAAGGCAGAGTGTAACCAGTTATTTTCAAGTAATGAATGTAGTTTGTGTGGAACTCTTCCAAGAAGTTGTTCCTGTGTAACAAGATTTTGGTTGTTTAGATTACAAATGTGAACAACTTTCTACACTTTGATTCATTCGAGATTAATTTAACAACAATTCTTAGAATTATTCATTAGTTTTCTACTCAATAGAACACTGTTGACAAGTTGAGTTTCTTGTTTATAAAACATCGTCTTTTGTCTAAATAAATAGATTCGAAAACTTTCATTTAATATTTTAAAATTAAAGAAGTTGTCAAGTTTAAAAAGAAAAATATTTAAAATTATTAATTCAAACGTTCATTCAAGAAGTTTGGAAGTCAATTCAATCATTTGAGAGCATTCAAAGAAGACATTAAAGAACTCAAATAAAACAAGACGTTCAATTTAGAAAGAAATCATTTATAACACTTGAAGTAACTTTTTAATTATTTCAATTTAGAAAAATCGATAAAAGAAGAAACGAAATTGAAGAGTTTAACTGTAAGATTGATAGATTTGTGAAGNATAATTTAAAATATTTATTGGAAGGAACACGATGAGAATAAGAAGAGAATTCGGCACGAAACATAATTTTCAGATATGATGAGATTTAATTAAATAAAGAAGAACTTTGCAAGCAGAATTGAATTTTCTCCGAACTACAACAAAAGATAATAAACAATAATAAATAAAACATGGAATGAAGACATTCTCACTTGATTCTCAGATATCGAGTTGGATACAATGTGAAAACAGTTCTAATTTCGAGTTTATTTCATTTCGTAAACTCGAGAGCATTGCTCGAAATTGAATGGTCCTTGATTACGTTGGGTTCTCTATGACAATCTAATCTATAATAATGGAATCTTTAATAAAGGCAGAGTGTAACCAGTTATTTTCAAGTAATGAATGTAGTTTGTGTGGAACTCTTCCAAGAAGTTGTTCCTGTGTAACAAGATTTTGGTTGTTTAGATTACAAATGTGAACAACTTTCTACACTTTGATTCATTCGAGATTAATTTAACAACAATTCTTAGAATTATTCATTAGTTTTCTACTCAATAGAACACTGTTGACAAGCTGAGTTTCTTGTTTATAAAACATCGTCTTTAGTCTAAATAAATAGATTCGAAAACTTTCATTTAATATTTTAAAATTAAAGAAGTTGTCAAGTTTAAAAAGAAAAATATTTAAAATTATTAATTCAAACGTTCATTCAAGAAGTTTGGAAGTCAATTCAATCATTTGAGAGCATTCAAAGAAGACATTAAAGAACTCAAATAAAACAAGACGTTCAATTTAGAAAGAAATCATTTATAACACTTGAAGTAACTTTTTAATTATTTCAATTTAGAAAAATCG